TTGGAGAAGCCATAAAACTTAAAAAACTCTCCCTGGCTTTATCTACAGTAAATATTGCTCCGTATTTAGTAAACTTAGAATCATGAAACAGCTCTTTCTCCTGAACACCAACTCACTAGATAGCTGTCTGGAACAGTGTTGAAAAGGATTCTGAGGCAGTAAGTTCAAGGGGAAAGTGTATGACAATTGATTAGCAATGTCTACTGACGGCCAGGGGCTGGAGAGCGGAGACAATCAACTATTGTCTGAAAGGGGTCCTACCCCTGGCTTCTCTGATACCTGGCTGTGCAGCCTTCACACCTGCTTTCTCATCTGTAGGGCAAGGGCACGGGCACTGGACTAGAGAGGCTTCGAGGACCACCTCTCTATCAACACTCCTCGTCATTTGCTGGCCCCTACGTCTACTTCATGGATCTAGTCATTTCTAATCCTCCATGAAAGGAGGAGTAGTTTTCGGACTGACATAGTGGAGTCCTTGCTGCATATGAGGGCACCTGGATAAAGGTCTGTTCATTTACTGAGGTGCAGGCAGCTGTGATCTCCACAGGGCACTACACAAGCCACGCCCCGCACTGTGTCACACACACACACACACTTTCCCTTTAAGAGCCTGCTCCTGCCTCATCCCAGCATTTCAGTCCTAGGGGAACCCATTCAAAGCCCCAGTCTCTCAGCCACTGCTTTGATCTCTCCCCTAAATGGTCCTCTGGAAAGGACCCAGTAAAGGGCCCCTGTACACACCCTACAAATGTGAGGCATTGCTATTACAATGTTGTTCTTATTGTATTTAGGGATGAAGGAGTCTGCCTCGGGTCCCTCAACATTCACCTTGAAGGTGGCTGCTGACACCCCTTGCTCCCCCTTGGCCTACAAATGGATTTGGCCATTTTAAATTCCTCTCCCTCCCCTTTCACTGCACACCCTCTGCCCAGCCATAGGTGACATCTGATTGCCTCCATTTGGGACATTCCAGTTTCTCTCTTCACAGCAAGCACATCAAGTAACAGCAGCTGGAGTGCTCATTAAGGGTCCCAGACCAGGAGAGAGGAGCTGATGGGGGAAGAGTTGGGGCCTGAGGGCTGGAAGCCACACTCCCAGCTCCCCGAGAACTGGCCCCCCGCCCCATCCTCCTCTCCTGGCTCTGACCCTCCCCTCCCAGTGGCTTGGCCCTTCTGCTCACATCTGCCTCCGGCTTGCCTCATTCCAGGCTCCTCTCCTGCTGGGTCCCCTCAGCCTTCCCTGACAGTTCCCCCTTCCTCCTGCCTCACAGATACAGTCTGTGCCCCAGCGCACTGCTTCCCGGTTTCGGGGGCGGGGGAGTGAGCGTGCCCCCACATTCCTGCCTCCAGGCCAACGCACAGGCTGTGTGCCTCACCAGGTGCCCTGCCCAACACCCTTCTTCCATCCTTCGGGGAGCAGCCCACGCCCACCTGCTCCGGGACTGCCTGCCTGCCCCAGGTCCCTGGGAGCCCTCTGCAGGCACTCCTGTGGCCCTGAGCGTGGCCTCTGGTGGTGGCGCCTTGCAGTGCCATCTTCCATTTGCGGTGCCATCTTCCATTTGGAGAGCCTCGCAGCATCCCCAAGAGGGAGGCGGGGGCCTGGGTCCGACAGAACAGGAAGCTGAAGCTCCCAGGGTGGCAAAGCCCAGCCTGAATCCTGGGTCTAGGCCCCCATGTTCACAGGGTGTCTGTGAGCCCCTTGAGAGCAGGGACTCTCTACACATCCATTTCATAGGCTTGTTCTTTAACAAAACCATGTCCTCCGCTCTTCTCTGCCATTTTCTTTTCTCCCAGGAGTTTCCACCAGTTCCAGTTCTCCCTTCTCTGCTGCACCCTGTCCTCACCTTTGCCCTTTGCTCCAACTTGGGAGAACATACCTCAAAAACAAAAGGTCTAGGATGGAGGAGGGGCCTCGAGTTGCTCTGGGGCCACCTTTGCTGGCCCAGGAGCATCCTGCGTGACGCAACGCTGTCCCATAGAACTTTCTGTGATGAGACATGCGCTGTCTGCCTGTGCTGTCCAGCCTGGTAGCCACTAGCTACAGATGTCTACTGCGCACTTACTTGAAATGTGGCTGGTGTGACTGAAGAACTAAATTTTAAATTTTATTTCATTTTATTTAATGTAAATGTAATGAGTCACACGTGACTAGTGGTTACCATATTGGACAGTGCAGCCCTCAAAGTGTCCCTTCATGAGCCCCTGGACTACATGCCACACCCAGGAGATGCCCCCCAGGGCCATGTCTACACAGACTAGACCACATACCCCTGCTACCCACAGGAGAGCTGTGTCCCTCTGGTTCCAGTGCCCTTTGCTACTGACCTCAGGTTCCACCACTGTAGCCTCCATTTCCATTCACTCCCCTCTGACCCCACTTGTACCCCTACTGTGGGTCACACTCCCTTCTGGCCTGCACTAGCCTCTTGTTTGACCTCCCTGATCTGCCTTCAGTTCCCATTCTAGGGACATTACTGCCCCCCTCTAGACCTTCCCATGGCTCCCTGCTGCTCCTACACAGATGAACGGTCTCTGAGGCCCCTCTTGACCTAGGCCACCTGCCTCTCCCCGGCCACCTCCTGCACCATGCCGCCTTCCCAGCCCCCAGGGCCGCGGGCTTTCTTCAGTTCCCCAAGGCAAACTCCAGAAGCTGCTCCCTTTGCCCCTAAGAACAAGGCTCCCACCCTCTTCACCTTTTGCCCGGAAAACTCCTATTTGCACTTTAAGACTTTGCTTGAAAATCACTTTCCCAGGAAACCACCACCATCAGGTGTGTTGCCTGTTGACACATTCCCCAGGCCTCCTCTCCTTCCATCATCAGCATTTGTCCCACGACATAGTCCCTGCCCACTTTCTTCTTTGTGCCCTATTCGTCTATACTTTTAGGAAGGCGGATGTGTGTCCACACCACTGGGCCCACAGCTGGCTCTCGGGAAACATTTGCTGAATGACTGAGTGAGAATGGATGAAGAAGCTGGCAGGACATAGTGGAAAAAGCACCAGAAGCAGGGTCAGGGGACTTAGGTTCTGGTCTTGGCTCTCGCCACGTGTCCCTGTGTAACCTCCGGCCCCTCTCTGGGCCTTAGTTCCCCCGTCTGTGAAATGGGGTCAGTTCAGATGCTTTACAGATGAGAGGTCCCAAAGGCAGTGGGACAGACACGAAGCTGCAGTTTTGAAAAGAGGACTCAGCACGTCAGACCACAGTGTCAGCTCGAAGGCCCGGAGAGCATGAGACTTGGCATGGCTAAGTCTCAAACAGAGGAAACAAGGATCTGGGAAAGGACTGGGGCATGGCCCGGCCAACAGGAGGGGCCAGGAAGGGGAAGGGATGATGAGAGGAACTGAGCGAAAGTCACAGGGTCTGATGCTGGTCTCTCAGCAAGGAGCACCCCACAGCCACCTGGAAGAGCCCTAACTGCCCGCACACGCTCTCCACTGCACAGCCAGTCCCGCGTGCACTCGCAGGCAGACCACAAAGGCTGCCTGCTTGCATTGCTGAGCCTAGAGCCCCCTCCCCCACCCCCATTCCAGGGGACTGTGGCGGCCAGGCGGCCCTCTGGATTCCCTGGGCCCTGGCAGAGCATGGGAATGAGCTGACAGCAGCAGTCATGGGTGAGCCACCGGCAGCAGTAAACTTGCCCTGTGGCCATTCTCTCTGCTCTGGCCACGTGGCCTCCCTCTCCTTGACCACTCTGGACTACTGCTTTGGCAGGTACCAGCCTTTGCCTGGTAGGGGCACCTGAGAGGGGCCAGGCTGCAGGAAACTGGCGCATCATTCCAGAATGGCGACAACACCACTATGGTCAGAGACGGGCTTTTATGCTTGCCATCGGCACCACCACTTTGCAAGCTCAGAGAGAAGAAGATATGTGTCCCAGGTTGCACAGCCTCTGAGCAGCAGGGTAGGAATAAAACCGACGCCTGCTGGACCCAACCATCCTGTTCTTCACTATCCTGCCCCACTTCTTACTAAGAGGCCCTCCCAGTTTTTCCGATGGAAACCTTCCGTGGCCAGCCTCTTGCAGGACCTCTTCCCAGATGGCTGCAGCCCTTACCTGTGGTTCCTCCCCTTTATCTGGGCCCTGGGTACCCTGTGCTGTCCAGGTTCATAACTTACTAACCAGGCCTCATGTTCTCCCCCAGCCTTTTCTCTGATCACACCAGTAAGACTGCATGTCCCTCCTTCCTGGAGAAGGTGGGTCTTTTGATGTACTCCCAAGATTGCCATGGTTGAGAGGCACTGGTGACTTTTAATCCACTTGTGTTTATGAATGTTTTGGAACTGGGAGAAAGCTCAGCATCCTTTTCCCAGAAAGACACCGTTCCAGAGAGCAGGAAATAAGAAACCCAGTTTAGGAACAAGAGGGCATGCAGAGCCAGGGAGACCCACACCTGGGCCCCAGTGGTCTGGGGCAGTGGGCAGGGACCAGGACGCCACCAGCTGCAAGAACTGCCCCTTCTGGCCCCCTCAGCCCCTTGGATGACTCACTCCTTCACTCTATCGTCCAAGAGGAACGCTAGCAATAAAAGGCAGGACTGATCCTTCAGGGATAGATGGGGAGGGCCATGGGCACCCAGCAAGCCTCGGCCCGGGGCCACGGGGCACACTTCCCGCCGCGTGGGCGCTGGGCGGCTCTCACACTACCCTGGCGGGGTGCCGGATGGGAGAAATGGAGCTTGGCCGCCTCCGAGAGCCTCGGCGCTCCATGCTTTGCTCCACCTGCCTCGGGTGCCCAGGAAGCTCCCAACCCCGGACGCGGGGGGCGCCTGCCGGAGTGGGAGAGTGAAGGGGTCCTGCGCAAGCCACTCAGGTCCTTGGGCTCCCTGGCAGGGCAGCGTCCTTCCCCGCCCCCATCCCCTCCTCACAACTCGGGCGCGTCCGGGGGCGCACCGCGCGGCGCGGATAGAAAACTCCCGCGGGCACTGGCTGGTGGAGAGTTTGGAGGCTGCGCGAGGGGGCGCCGCGGGGAGGGATAAAAGCCAGCAACAAAGAGCACAGACCTCATCCAGCAGTTGGTTAACTCGTCCCAAAATAGCCGTCTCCATTTGCTGCTCCCCACACTCCGCTTCCAGGCGCAGCACCCGGGCCTGCAGCTCCGCGGTCCGAAAGTGGGCGAGAAGGCTGAGCGCGAGCGAGCAAAGGGTCAGCGCCAGCAGCCCGCAGGACCCCGGGCTCGGCAGCCGCGCGCAGCGCTCAGCCGGCGCCACCGCCAGAGCCGTCAGCGTCCCGGGAGCACCCAGCTCGCCAGGGCCGCGGGCACCCGCGGCTGCAGCTTTGCGGGCGCGCTCCGCTACCATCCCCTCGCGTCTTGAGAATCAATAAATAAATAAATAGAATAAATAAAGGCGAGAGCCACTGCCCAAAGGCTCGATCCAAGCTGCGGGGCAGGGGGAAAGGGCTTGTGTCGCTGGAAAATGTCCCTTTCTTTTGCTCCCGGCAAAGGGGATGGAAAAATTAGCAGCAGGAGGGGAAACGCCGATAAAACACAACCAGCGGTAATCGGGGTACGCCCAGGTGAGAAAAAGTTACTTCGACGAACGTTCCAAGTTCAGGAAAGTTAGGGGAATCTGGCCGGCACTCCTCTCCGCCCCGTCTTTCCTTCAAGTGTCTGCAGAGTCCTCGAGTTGATTCTGCACAGTCGGTGCTCCTTAGTGTCTTGCGTCTCCCCGGCGAGCCAGTTTCAGTCCCGGAGCGAAGGGGCGCAATTAGAGGGCCCCATGGGCAGAGGTGGGTCGTGGCCGCTGCCGAGGAGCGCTGGGGCCGATTCCGGCGTCTCTGTAACTTGACACACTAGTGGCGGCTGCACGGATCGGATGAGCAATCCGTGCTACTTCCCAAACTAATCTCTCCCGCCCCACTCCCTCCTCCTCCTCTCCTTTCCTCCTCCACCTCCTGCGGGGCCGACGGCTTGGATTTGTTTATTTATTCAAACTCGCCCGGGGTGGGGGGCGTGGTGTGCAGGGGCCGCTGCCCCGAGCCACCGGCCCCGGGAGCAGCCTCTCCCGCTATCTCTGCCCCTTTGAAGTGACGCGGGGTTATTTATAGGCAGGAAGGGGGTGTGGAGTGGAGCTTGGGGCTTCACTTCTCTCCCTTTCTCCGGATTCACACCGAGAGCCCTCTTCGCCTTCCACCGAAGTCAGGACCAGGCATCACCCTACTTTCGGACTAGTTGGCAAAGCCAGCCTTTGGGATCCTCCAAGGAGCCCTGCTGAGTTACTGCCGGGCATCTAGAAGGATCTCCACCTTCTGAGCAGGAGGCTCAGAATCCCTTCGGAGGCCATTGCGCTCCTCCCGCCCCCCCACCCCACCCCGCCCCTCGCCCTGTCTCATCCCTTCCCTGACCCCCCCACTCGCTCCACCTTCGGCTCTGTGCCTCCTGAGTCCTGCGGTTTCCCCAGCGCCTTTGGCGGGGCTCATTCGGCCAACCACGCCTTTCCTGGGGGCGGGGGTCGTGTGACAAGTCGGCCCTCCAAGGGGGCAGCAGAAGTGGTGTCCTTTTCTCTCCTCCAGGACCCAGACACATCAGAGGTACAGGAGAATAAAAACTGAGCACAGGAGGGGAGGGGAGGCAGAGGTGCAAGAGGGTATAGGAGGGATAAATGGTAATGAAAAAAATAATATAAAATAATGTAACGTAAAAAAAATAATGTAAAGATAATGTATAAAATAAATAAAAATTTAAAACACTGAGCAGAAGGGCTCATTCGAGGGTATCTGAGCGGAAGGTCCTGCTGCCTCGCAGTCCTGAGCCTCCCTTACTTCCCGCCATTGGCCTGAGACCCAGTCCGCCCCTCTGCGGTCAGACCCGCCTGCGCCGCCGCCCCAGCCGCCGGGAGCGAGCCGTTCTCACACACTCCCGCTCCTCCCCTGTGAGTCCTTCCTACCTTTGCTCCCTCCTGCGGTCGTTCCCGATACCCCCGTAGAAGACAGCTGCCCCAACGGCATTTCCTAGTGTCCTCTCTTCTCTTGTCACCTCTCCCACTTGAAGTACCATTTGAATCCCAAGAGACTTTATCTCCTTGGGCGTCTTGACATTCCTGCAATGAGGTGGTGGGAATGAGTTTATGCAGAAAGCCTGCTTCTCAAGAACAGCGGGCAGGAGATAAAGGGCTGGCCCTTGAAATGTGACATGGGGGTAGGGGCGACAGGGGTGTTGTGATTCCGTTTTACAGGGTGCGCCACCTTCACATTTTATATATTTACCTAATTGAACTTAATGTATAATACAGTATCACGGCAACACCTATTAGTGTTGTACATCTGAAAGAGTAACATAGTACTTACAAATAATAAGTGTTAATAATGTTGCCTGTTGGGTCAGTCAGCCACTATGGAGAACTACAAGGATAGAAAGTGATGCTGCGGAAAAGGGCGGGCAGCCAGGAGCTCTGGGTCGGGCATTTCTTCCACGTGGGGCATGGGGTAAGTGCGCCTCTGCTTCCCTTACCCTGTGATGGGGTGTCTCCAGTGGGCAGTACGGAGTAATCCCTGAGAGCACACGGGGGTGTTGAAGACCACCAGGGGGCGCTAGAGAATTTCTGCACTGAGAGCTACATGGCTGGGGATTCAGGGACTTGGATTCAGCACTTCTGCAAGGGTAGTGGGAATGGAGGAATTGTACTGAGGAGTGAGTTTCATCCTTCCTTAGTCCACGAGCTGATTTTTTCCCTTTAAGGACTTTAGGAGCCCTCAAGAATTCCAAGGCAGTGAAACCTTAAGGGTTTGGGGCTGCCGCAACCTACCTCTGTGATTGGGAGCTGAAGGAGAGGCATACAGGGCTAACCTGACTGCAGCATCAGAAATGACATGTTCAGACCCTGGAGACTTCCAGGGCAACTCGAGTCAGAGACATCGGGTGTAAATCACAGCTCTGACGATAACCTAACATCTCTGAGGGTTTTTTTTCTCATTTACAAAATGGGAGAACTTAAGCTTGGGAGAACTTATTGAGGTAGTGCATGTAAAGCCCTTAACAGTGTCTGGTACATAATAGGTGCTGAGTAAGTGTTATCAGCTTTGTTCTTCAGGAATTCATGGCTACTAGTGCCAGCTAAGACACAGCCACTTTTGGGCTCTCAGTTGTGAAACAGGAAGAAATTTCAGCCCCAAGAGGAAGCAAATGAGTCACAGTCTCCCCTCACCAACCCCCATGAACTGATAGCTGGGGGCAGTAGCCTGTGGGAGACAGCCTGAGTGGGGGGCCCTGTCCCCACATGTGCTTTCCCTTCGTCACGCACTGACCGAAATTCTTACTCTGGGGACTTCTCCCTTCCTGTTAAGCATTACCTGTCCCAGGCAACTGAGCTCATCATGAAACCTTTTTCTGCAGAAGTGGGATCTGGGACCTAGAGACACAGGAGTGAAAAGACCTTTTATCCAGGAGCTCAGAGTCCAGTAGAGAAGATAAGATACATTTAGAAACAACTGCGACAACAGGCAGACAGTGAAAATCCACAAAACAGAGTGAAGGCCACAAGAAGGTGCTTTGTGGGCTCCCAGGAAGAAGGGCAGGGATCCTGTGACTCAGGAAAAGTCCCTAGGAAATAGGCTTTCTTGTGTCTAGCAAGAGAGGCTTCCGATGCTAACCCAAAGAGTTGGACTTCAATCTGTGGCCATGGTTACGCTCCTAGATAAAAATGAATATTCTGGATACCAGACTGGAAAGCTAAGAAAAACATCCCTGTGTATATAGCCTGTACTATTCCTCAAGCATTTTCTGTGTTTTTCTGCTTCTACATATTTGTTTCTGCTGGACCCTCTGCCAGGAAGTTTTTCCTTCAGTCACCTGTTCTCTGTTCCTTACAATGCTGCCAACTGCTCCAAGCTCAGTTTTATGGAACCAACCCCCCTTCCCTTCTTCTTGCCGTGGCATTGACAACACCGACTGTTCCCATCCGGCTCCTGAGACCCCGCTGCCCTGTCTACTCCTGTCTCTCTGCCTTGACTTTCAGTCCTCCCTGAAGAGTCCTTTTTCCCTCCTCATGTCAAAATGGTGGTCACAGCTCCTCAGAACTTTGTCACAGAGTCTCTGCTGGGCGGTTCCACCCACAACTCTTAACCTGGCATATCAGAATCACCTGTGGAGACCACAGAAGCGTGGACACCTGCGCCCCTTCCCCCTTCTCCTCATATCTGTAGCTCACTTTCCTTTGGGGAACCCTCTTACTCTCAATCCATGTGGCTTCGATAAGGTTGACCCCATGCTCAGCTCTCAGGAAGTGAACAAATCTATCTCCCCTGGCTACAGTCATTGGGCCAGAGATGGGCGTGCGGCCCAGGTCAGGCTCATGAGAATCAGGCTGCAATGACTGTGAAAGGGTAAGTTTCTTTGTGAATGGCTTCCTAAAAGAATAGCAACTACTGCAGGAGGCATCTTGCCACTGATCTTAAAGATCTTGCTTGAGACTTATACAAACATAGGAGGCAAGGCACGGGGCAGACAGGCTGAGTCCTGAGGATGTTATTTAGCCTCTTGGATCAAACTGCGCCGAAGCTCATCCATGCTTGCAATTTTCAATCACAGGAGTCATTGTTGCTTAAGTCACTTTGAGTTGGGTTTCTTCTCTTGCAAGCAAGAGAACCCATAGTCACATATAGTCACCCCAACTTACCGAGTCAGAATCTCTTTTTGCTGAGAGTAGCAGCACAAGGAAGCCCAGGTTCCATCCTGTTTTTAGAAGCTTCCAGAGGGACTGGAATGTACCCAAGGCAGCAGGTCACCACACTGTGCCTTCCCCCTGGGAATACTTGACCTCTTGACCTCCAGTTTCTGTCTCTCTGATGAGGACTCTCCCATGCAAACCTGCATCCCACATCCCCATCCCTGGCACTTCTCACCCATGTCTGCAGCTGCTTCCTGGAGGCTTTGTTTGGAGCTCCCAAACCTCACCTTACCCCAGTCATCGTTCCTTTACTCTGCCTCCCCTGCCTTCCCTTGGCTTGTGACATTGGTGGCCTGGATGATTGCTTTCTCCTCACCCTTACCTGCTTCACTCAGTTGGGACCACGTCCTATGGATTCCACATCTTTAGTTTCTCTCAGGTCTGTTCCTCCTTTTGGGCTTCTCTGCTCCCTCCTACTGCCTGCTCCATGCCCAGCCTTTAAACAGGCCCCACTTTCCCGCATGGTAGCCACAACGAGAAACCTAACCCAAGGAAGCCTGGCCCCAGGACCTGCCAGAATGTCCCCCAGGCACTACAGACTCCTTATTCTTTTCTCTTCCCCAGCCTTTATGATCACTAGCATGCTATTCCTGCCCCTCAGCTCTGCTTCTGACTGCTGCATATAGGGGACAAGA